GCCAGCTCCCTCAGCACTCATGGGTGCATCCCATCGGGGCCCGTGGACTTGTGTATGTCAGGTTTGCCTAAACGATCTCTAACTCATTCCTCCTCGACCAAGGGAGAGTCTTCCTTTCTCCAGACTTCCTCTCTTGTCCCCGGGGTGTGGAATTCCTGAGGACTGGCCTTAGCAGTAAAGACTGAAGCAAAGAAGGCATTCAGCAGTTCTGCCTTCTCTGTATCCTTCGATACCAGGGCACCTGCCCCATTCAGTGGTGAGCCCACATTTTCCCTAGTCTTCCTTTTACTATTGAAGTATTTGAAGAAGCCCTTCTTGCTGTCCTCGACATCCCTTGCCAGATTAAACTCCAAATGGGCCTTAGCCTTCCTTGTCGCATCCCTGCATACTCTGACAATGTCCCTATATCCCTCCCAATGATCCCATAGATCATTAAATTTTGAGCTACCAAATCTGCCTTTGGCCACAGACAACAGAACTTGCATGAAGCCGTGCAATGCTCACCTTGGAAAGTTTACTGTGACAATGACGATAGCAGACTTGCTCTACTATCCTTGTTTGCTTTGTTTGACTCATTTTCCTTTAGAATTATAGGGAAAATGGTAGCCTTGCAAAGATCCTATCCAGGATCCCTCCTTTTCTGTTAGCACAGTATTGGGCTAATCAGTTCCTAAACTATTTTTTGCACTGTAGAACTAAGGAAAATAAACTAGATTCAGAAATTCTTAGGTGTAAAACTAAGGCATGTCTCACATGCACTAAATGATATAGAGAGTATTTCTGGCCTTAAGGAAAAAAGTTATGGCAAAACAGCACATTAATACACATATCCACAAGTTATATTTTTTCTACTGAAAACTGAAATATATAGATGTTAAGTATTGCATATTTTTCAGGAAACAGATTTGAAAAATCACATTTTCAGCCTACTAGCCCAGAGTATACAACAGTTTTTGCCTCAGTGTTCTTCTGATGGCCGATTTTTTTTTTCCAGAGCTACGACCCTGTTTGCACTGCTTACTCTGACAAGACAATGCAACAGGATAAGTTTGGACATCTCTTGCAGCATTGCTTCTGTGCTAGGGCAGGGATGAGAGTCTTGCATACTGGCCTCCAGAAAGGCTCCCAAAAAAGGAGAGATACCTTACTGGCACTGATAACTTCTTTCTGTTTTGCAGCAGAAAGCCCAATCTTGGATAGAAAAGGAAAGAAAGTATTAATGTTAACGTTTTCAATACGATAATCAAAAACTACCGATATTGGTAGGGAGAAGGTAAAGGTGTTTTTTAGAACAGGAAGGTTTTAAGTCATTTAGAGACTTCCTACCCAGGATATGAAGCCCATTTCTGTAGCGTCTCTTCATCGTCACTGTCACACAAGTCTGCAAATGCTGCTTCCAGATCTTCTAACTGATGAACACGGTTTTCAACACAATCCAACAAGCCCTCCTTTAAATGCATATATGTTAAGAAGTAAAAAAAAAAAAATGTTAAGACTGTGTTGGGTTTTTTTTTTAGCTCAATCAGTTTAGTTTATAGGTCAAATTCTGAAATGATTGATCTGGTGGAGATGAGGAAAGAGACATAACATCTGGTGGAGATGAGGAAAGAGACATAACTGTTCATTGTTACGGAGTATCTTTTCAAGAGCATCAGCATGAACGCCTGCAGAAGTTATTACCTTCAGAAAAAATCTTCTCTTTCTCTTCTTTCCTACCACAAAGTTACCACATCTACATTCCAATAGGATACACTGGGGAAAGCTAAGAAACTGTATTTGACTAATTGTTAGATTTATTTGTAAAGTCCTGCAATGCTGCAATATTTGTTGAATTCGATATGAATATACAGGGACTCAGATGAATATGAGCTTTACACTGTTATAAAAAAAGAAAATTTCAGGGTTTTTTTTAGATTAAAAATTAATAGATATTACTGTTCAAATGTGCTTATAAAGAATCTCAAAATCGGCTATTTTGTGTTTCAAGGCCCTGATCCTGAAAAGGTTTAGACACATTTTTAAGAAGTTCAGCAAACATAATGGAGCAATCTGTTGGAATAAGTGAGGCTCTTTACACGCACACAGTTGTGCATGCAAATATTTGCAGAAGTAGGTCCCAGAAAACACATCAAATGAAAATCAATGCTTGGCATAATTGCTACAAAAGATACCCAGGGCAGTGGTGCGTGAAGGAAAATTATTCAAAAGTACATTGGAATAGATGGGTAACAATTAGGAACAGAGCGACTCCCTCTCATGAGTCTGCTGAGCTTATCATATGCCAGATGCTGCTTTTTTGGCCAGCAATGTCAGCTTAGAGCTAATCTTTCTGAGCAGCTGAGGGTATCAACCTATCATGGGCTGCTTTTCAAAGCAGCACCAGTAACTAACATTAAAGATGTATGCCTAATCACTCTCTATGCTACTTTAACAACAAATAAACAAACAAAAAAACTATCTTGCTGTGCTGCATGGTAGAAATGTACATCTAATGGTACCCTAGAACTATTTATGGTTATCAGTCCAGAATCCCTTTAAGATAGTAGACATCCAGGAGATTTCATGCATCTTTGGAAAAACATGGAAGTCCACTAGCCTTCTACCTTCAGCTCCTGTATGTTGAGTGTTTCTGTACAAAATGATTCATGAATTTGTTCTTGCCTTGTTCAGTTCTATACCTACTCATCACTCACTCTCTGCTAACTATTTCACCTGCCCGGATATCACATTGGGAAACTAATCACAAGCCTTTACACCTTCCACATTTAACTAACTTTTAAATATGTACGTTGGCATGAGAAACAAGAAAATCAGTCTGACATCAGCTTCCACATAGCTCCACTTCTTTATACACACAAATTAGTTTTTATTAATTTGCATTATTGGCATGCATTGAATTTGCCTGTAATTGTCTTCAGACAGAATTACCAGAGCAAAGATAAAATCTTGTTTGGAAATTGTTTGGTGTAATGACTATTACTATTACTGTGTCCAAGGTTTGGCCTTAAGGTTGAACGACTGTGTTTTGGCAGCAGTATCAAGCTTATATTTCCACGGCTCAGAAGCACACAGCACACACAAAGAAAAGTCCATTACAGTGGTACAATACTGGCCCATCCACATCTAAAAAAGATAGGCAGAATACGAATTAGGCACTTAGCCTAATTCGGCTAATTAGGCACTCTGTCTCAAAGAAGAGCAACCAGGAAGGGAGGGTGTGCTGAAAGAATACCCTATTGAACCATAAAAAGGAAGAGATTACAGAAGACTTACTATGTTTTCATCTCTGTCTTGTCAATTGCTACTTGTTTACACAAATTAAATTTCACACTGATGTTAAATATCTATGCAGGTCATACATCTAACCAAAATGTTTATTAGGAACGAATTCCTACCCAGCTGCTGATTAACATTCAGCATGCTGCATGGCTTAATTGAAGACCACTTCATTAAGCACCTTTCAGAGGTTCCTTCCTTGACGTAACTCATTTTTATTCAGGAAATAAAAAGAATTATTCCCTCTTGTATCCCACAAGGAAATACTGTACCTCTGTTGCATTTCTGTGAGGCTTCTTAAAACGGTATAACTCTTGCAAGAGCTCATATTCTGTCTTTGAGAAAGGAAAAAAAAAAATTAGTTTCTTCAAGTGAAACAAGCAATTTTCAATGCCCTCCATCTTCCAGAAAAGAACTGGTCTACCAAGATAGTTGATCTACTCCCATATAACAGACAATTCTTTAAATGCAGGTGACGAAGAGAACGTGAGGCTTGAGGAAGCGATACTTCATGGCCTCAGCCAAACACTTTCCAACTGCTAAATGTTAAACCTGATTTCAGTAACATAGCATTAGCAGTGAGGTACTTAAGGGCTTTGCTGTTGAGATTAATCGGACACTTGAAATTAGACATGCATTTTCATGAACTGAGGTTCCAATGAGTTGCTGAATAAAAAAGAGTGGCAGACTTGGGCAACCATAAAGAACAGGAGAGCATGATTTTAAAAGATAACAGAGTAGGTAAAACTAACCTGGCTGGCCAATAAAGTCCACCTGGAATCTATTATGGGAGCTTGTCAGCCTCTACTCCTTGATAGTACTCAAGGATTGATCAAGGATAAGCAGATCTCATTCTTTACTAAATAGCATTAAAAAGGCGAATGCTTGTGAATTTTTCAGTAGAGGGAGAAAGACAGGGTAGACTAAGAGACTAATGAATTTTACAGCAATATAAGGCATCTTTAAGGCAATGTTTTGGATTTTTGGGCTTTTTTGACAGGAATACTATTGTATTGTATACTCTTCTGAACTGGTAAACCATATTTACTTTTACCTTTTCCTCCCATTCTTATGTTCTAAGTGTTAACTTGGGCAGCACTTTCTGGTGGAATTATCCTATGTTACAATAGAGGATTCATAGTTTAGAAATGTTAACTGCAACTGAGATTGTTATATCAAAAAAGGCACACTGGAGCTCTGTACAAGCCTACTTCTGAAAGTGTTTCCTAGGACTGAGAGCCTATCATAACAAAAAACCCTCCATTATTTTATTCAAAATGTATTTTAAACCCTAACTGGGGTACTGGATTTTATTCTCCTAAGGCAAGACCCCTAAGGTGCTTCCCCCTTGTCTTATGTTTCTCTTTGTAATACAAAACAACTGGCTTTGAAGATGTCTGATGTTATTGTGATCATAAACACTGAACGTCATCAGCCAACGCAAATCAGAAACACTATATTCACTTCAATGTAGCAAACAAGAAAGCAGTACTCTAGCTGAAGCGTCAGATGTTCTCCAGCAGAGGTTGAGGCTAAAACAATGTTCCTAAGAGTCACAAGTAAGTAAATAAATAAATAAATAAGATAAAATCTGCCATCCCTCCTTAAATGACCCCTGCTGTCAGCACGTGGGATGTTACCATTGAAAACTTACTTTGAAAAAAAAGACAGCTTAGCTTTTGTATCCCAAGCAACAGGTAGAACGATGCCAAGGAACTCTGACCTTGAACACACACACCAACACATATTACAAATTTGAGGTCTAGGCCTATTAGCTTGCTGCACTTCTTTGATGCATATACTCCCTTAAGAGAGTCTCTCTTCCAAATATTAGCAATGATTCTTAACCATGATCAGCTGATTTCTTCGATTTATCTTAAATGAGAGTTTTTCCCACATACATCTTTGTCCTTCTAGCATTTATTCTGTTACAAATGGTAAGAGGATTCTCCATATTCATGCTTACCTTTGTGTACATTTCTTTAAATGGATTTTTAACTGAAAAAAAATCTAAGTCAATATCTAAAATGTATGCATCCCCTTTCTGTACTACTTGGCAAATATCTTTAACAACCTCCCTTGTTGGGCATTCACTGTTTCTGAGAGAGCTTGAAGCTGAGCACTCTGACAAGGTTTCCGTCCTGTTTTGTGCACTTGCATTTTGCATTTCCTCGCTCTTCACGCTTGAAGAGCCGTGAGCAAGGTCACCAGGAACCACTAATGAAGAGGTAGAAGCAGTGCTTGCTGTGTCATCTGTATTTAGCTTCACTCTCTTAGGAGATGCTGCTTTGTCATTTTCTTCCTGGCTCTTCAATGCTTCAGTAGGATTAATGACGATGACATGTAAACTTAAAGGCTTCTGGTTTTCTAGCTGATCAGCAGGGACATAAAGACCGTCACTTAGAAAGTAATGATCTGTACCTGTAACCCTACAATTGAGAATAACTCAAAGTTAACATACATTTTTGTAAAGAGCTTAGAAATAAGCATGTACAATTATGGGATCCTAAGAGAAAAAAAAAAGAACAGATGTCTGATGGATAATCAAAGGAATATAACTGTGTACAAAAGATTATTTATTTTAATCTGTAGGTGTTTAAATTTAAACTGTTTTTTTTCTACCCCTTTTTAATTGCTAAATATTGTAAAATTAATTTTACGCTTCTGATGATAGCTATACAAGGCTTCCAATGGATAAGAGAAGATTTTACATTAGAATATAATCCAATGACAAATTACTCTTTTATGAGCACGTAAAGACAACATAAAGAACAAGATATTGTCAACATTATGACATACAAGGCTGTAAAGCTATGGACATTTTACATCTTGGATTACCCTCTTTTTTCAGGAAAATGATTTCAGTTGTGTTTGAGAAGCACCCTGAAGGCTGTGGATATGCAATCAGTAAAAGTAAAATGTTACATATAGGTAGCACTTTCCTTTACCACTGACACAGAATTCCCTGTCTTACATGTTGGGAGAGCAGATAACCCAAGGATGAATAGTTTACATGTTAATGGAATCCACTGAAATTTAAAAAGACTAAAAATCTCATTTATGTGAAAATTTAGAGAATATTTCAAGCTATGTTTCTGTACATTAAGCCTTAAGTCTCATAAATTCAGAGAGGAACAAAAATGTAGTTTAAGATGAAGCATGAACTTCTGCTCACCTGTGTTAAGGCCTCATCTGATTATAGGGTATCACCATCAAACACAAGGACAGGCAGTTTCATGAGCAGCAGAAATTTGGAGCCTCAGTGTCTTGTGGCTGGATTATCCTAAGCCTGCTAACGGAGAGCCTGCATCACAGCTTCATCTTGTTGATGGGCATTCACAGAGCCTCTCCTCAGAGATTCTCTGGTGTTCAACATAAATAAGTTCACGCCACAGTCTTTCCCTTGGTGGGACGCTAACTTAGATATCTATCACCTGTCCAGCCACCTGCTATCAACTTTAGGGAGTTCATATTTCTGACTCCTTCATGATTTTTGTAAACCTAGAACCTCAAGCCATCTTTAAAAGGCAGCTGGAAACATTGATTTCAAAGCTGCTAAGGCAACCACAGGATCTGCGGGAGAGCTATTCAATCATCAAGCAGTATGTTTCTGGAGGTGCGTTATATCTCATGGTTAAATGTTACTCAAAGTACAAGTTTCTGCATTATCATTTGAGTGTAATTTAGACCATATATTCAGAATTGTAGGGCTTTTATGCTTTATTCCAGAAAGTAAAGCAAAGCATTTCTTCACTGTATTCTGTTTAACTTGCTTCAGAAGATTTAGTCTGATATGCTGGCAAAAGACATGACTTGTAAGGATCCATTCAAGGTGTACAAAACCACAATGCAGTGAATATAGTGAATGCAAAGTTGCCATTCACTAAACTCCACAGAATTAGAACGGGGGGCACTCACCGAAATTAGAATCATAAAAATATTAAGATTAGAAGGGACATTGGCTGTATCTCGTCCAACCTTCTGATCAAAGTAGGACTGACTTCAAAGCTAGATTAGACTGCCCACAGCCTTGTCCCATTGAACTTTAACCATCTCCAACGATGGAGATTTCACTGCCTGTCTTGGCACCTGTTCCAGCGCTTAACTGGTAGATTAAATTGAAAAAACAAAACCCACACCAGGAAACCACAATCACAGCTGCGAGCAAACAAATGTCTTACTAGCAAGGCCAAGGGCTAAATGGATACAAGTTGAACTGCTTTCTCTCATCCACAGAAAATAAAAGTTTTATGTGCATTAAATGCCCAGTTCTGTCACAACAGAGATGGTAAACTTTGTCCTGATTGGCACATTCAAACTCAGTTTAGAAAAGAAAAAAAGCTGTCCTTTGCTTTCTCTCTAACTTTGTTTTGTTATAACTCCACTGAACAGGAGCCTTAAAACTGGCTGCTCTGCTGAATCCCTTCTTTCAGTCAGTCAAACTCCATTTAACCATGTAAGCTCACCCTGAAGGGCAACATACTGAAAGAACTGCCCGAAAACAGGAATTTGGCTATAGCATCAGAGAGCAAAGAAAAGTAAGTGTTTTTTTCCCCATTCAGCCTAAACATGATGAGACTTCTCTCATCCCATCCAGAACAGTACAAAAAAAAGTTTGCATTAAAGAATATAGTTTTCTTAAGAATAATAATGTGAAAGAGTTTAAGTGTAAAAAGTTATGAATTTTTTAGTAAATAGCAGTGTTTTCTTTCAATTTCCAGCCAGTTTTATCCAGGCAACTTCATTCATTTAATTCTATCTTATTTTCAGACTGTAAAATGAGTTAGGTTAGAATTTCACAATCTACGTTTGAGTGGCAAAGGAAGAATGAAATCTTGTCCATGATTCCATTTTAAATGATAGAGAAAATAAGGGATGCATTATTGAGGACGTTGGTAAACAAGGTTTCCCTCATTTTCAAATGTTTAATACCGGTTATCCTATGATCATACACATATAATCCTTGATACGTGCTATATGTACAAAGTGGGTGAAAAACTGGCTGGACCAACACGATCAATAGTAACTGTAAACGGCTTGAAGTCCAGCTGGCAGCTGGATGTGAGAGGTGTTCCCTAGAGATTGGTATTGTTTGACATTTTCATTAATGCCTCGATAATACGCTCTTGGCAAGTTTGCATGCAGCACTGGGAGTAGCTAGAAGGCAGATCTGGCCTCCTGAAAGACCTAGACAGGCTAAAGGACTGGCCTACAGGAACCTCAAGTTTGACTAAAACAAATACAAGCTCCTGCACCTGGCACAGAATAACCCTATGCAGCAGTACAGGCTGGGCACAGACTAGCAACGTCGTAGAGAAACGGACCTGCAAGTCCCTGCAGAAAGTAAGTTGAATATGAGTGAGCATTACACCCTCGCAGCAATGAAGGCTGGCCACAAATTTTTGTGGTATTTGCAAAAATACAATCAGAAGGTCAAGCGAAGAGATTATTTTCCTTTACTTGGTGCCAGTGACACCCCATTTGGATCACTCTGCCCGGGTTTGGGTCCCCTGGGACACGACAGATGTCAACAAACTGGGAAGGGTCCAAAGGAGGGCTGCTAAGATGATTAGAGGGCTGAGCGCACGATGAACAGACGGAAGCTGAGGGAACTGGGTTTTTGTCTTCGTAAGGGAAGGCTGCGGAGGATCTAATTGTTGTCTTCTGTTACCTAAATCCTCTGCTGAAAATAGCTTTCTAAGATTTTGACTTTAATGAATAGAAATAATTTAAGACTTGCCTAGATTGAATGAGAATATCTAGGACTTTAAGGCACAATACTATCCAACAACAGTATCCAAGTTATCCAAGAATACAAAATTAATCCCATGAAAAGCTACATAGCTAGCTTTCATATTACTAGCGTATGGTAGTAGGCAGTTTACCTGATTGTAGTTGTTGATATGTCTTTCCCAATTAAAAAATCATGTTTTCCTTCTGAGATCTGCTGAGCCCAAGGTGGGTGAAGCCATATTACTTGAGAAATATGGCCAGCGTAAACTGCAGGCATAATCCAGTTCTCAATACTTAATTCACTGGAATGAATGAAGAAAGACTGGAGGTTACACTGTTAGCTCCCCTGTAAGTAAAACACGGTCAAGAGCACTACAAGTATCTTCCATATCTTGAAAGTACACACACAAATCATCTGAAGTAAGAACACTGTGCACAGGTCACATGATTAAAAAAGTAGGAGGGAAAGCTTAATTCATAAGAAGAACCCAAAACGTCTGTAGCAGAACGAAAAAAAAAGGATTATAGGTCAGGGTCAGCTTCACTCTTAGTAGGCTTCTTTGATTATAAACGACATGGATTTGTTGCCCTTTCTCTCTTGATGTATCAGACAGAGGAAAAGTGCAAAGATCATGATCAACACTATTTTAGAGAGCTCTGAATTGACCTCAGAGTATTTTGCTGTCAAGTACTCTAAACAGGTTTTAAATATCATCTCAGTGCTGAAAAGCAATCAATCAGCACCTACAGAATAAAAATCGATCCTTACTATCAATATGCTATCTCTTTAAGCGCACAAAACAGCTCCCAAAGTTTCTTATTTATCCAACAAAAAAAGTAAGATATTGACTATTGATAGAATGACACAGCTACTTACGTACTAATTACATCATCCTTTGATTGCTGTGAATCACCATTCCATACTGAAGTAGTCAACAGTCATTTTAAAATGGGAAGAGAAAGACAATAAAGGTCACTCTGTGCCTTGTTACCTTCTTCAGAAGTTGGGGTAAAATATTGGTCCTCATGATATTAATGAGAAAATCTTGTTCAACTTCACACATTCAGCATGTCACCACAGATGATGCTATTGCAACCTCAAAGCAGATTTTTCAGACTGAGGACAGAAAGGCTGTTCTAAACCTACAGCTCTTCAGATCAAAAGGATCAGCACTTAGGAGTACTGTCCTGTTATCCAGAGAAATAACCTGGCCTAATAACACGACATACTACTAAACAACTAAAAGTAAATTCGCAAGTCTCAGGTTTTCTTGATATGCAACATAAATATTTGACCACACTCATAAAGCACACACATAACTTCCTCCCCACAAAAAAACCAAAGTGTTCAGCAAAAGTGAAAGGATGGAAGACACAACTTGGGGCTGCTTTACACCTGCTGTATGAAAAGTTAAACGAATACGGACTGTAAATCAAAGGTAGCAAGAAGTGGACTTCAGGTATTCTGATGCAGTACACAGGACTTTACCTAAAAAGAGCTTCTTTGTCAAATACGGTGTCTGCTGGCATATTTACGGGAATAAGGAGGTCTGGATGGGAGTCAAGATGAACAAAGCTGATGTTACTGGCAGGAAGGTGCTTTGAACCAATGGCGCGATAGATGAAAGGCAGAACCTAAAACAATACGAACAAAAATATTTCGGTTATAACCAGCAAGCTGAAAAACGCAATGACGTTAATAGCAAAAATACCAGCCCCTCTCCTCTTTGCTTCTTTTGAATTTGGATTATTTCTTGGGAGAAGGAGAAGGAGACTGAAAACAAAGGGATACCACTCCAACAGCAAGACAGCCGAAGAACCGTGAATCACTATGAACCCAAGAGTTTCATACATGGCCAGTTGCTGCAGAATCATAGCTTTACTCTTTCTTTTCTTCCTTATAGGAAGTCTTGTTTGTAGTAGCTCTTCTGATTAATAATTTAATACACTGCCTAGTTTTTTTCTTTTCAACTGATCCCCAGAAATGCCGTCTCTCTTCCGCTGAAGATTACCCCCTACACTTCCTTTTCTATGCTATAAAGCTTAGCCACAACCTATGCATGGGGCTGCGGAGATACAAACTTCTGAAGCCCCACTAACAAAATGTTAACTGATACAGGGTGAAAACTGACCCGGCTACCATTTAAGCTTTAGCTGATCTTTAAACCTATTCCTCTGGAGAAAAAGTTTAATTCCCAATCCCTGCAGGACTTAGCGGCTGCAATGAAAAGACTACCTTCCCCAGCTGCCCACTTAAAAGTGAGAAAAGCAGATGGGTAGATGTGTCAATTTACGGCATAACAAAGCACTGATGTGCAATACTGTCAAGTGGGATGAGACAACTGAAGGCTAATTCACGATCCTTCTTACACTGAGCTGCAGTAGACGGAGCTTCTCCCACAGTTACAGGCCGGTAACTGCCTTAGCTGCCAGAACAAATCTAGCAAGAATTGTGAACCAGATCGCTACTATACAGGGAGCATGAAAACTATAAAAAGACTGGGCAATATAAGCTACACGGGATCTCTGTATTTAAATGCAAACTGAGCTACTTTTTAAGCATAAAACTGATTAAGATCACAAATCCTGAATAGTGAGTGTACATAACCATAAAATCTGACACTTAGTTGAAATTTGGATTGTATTTCACCAGACCGGCTATAAATTCTCAGTTTTCCCACTACTTATGCAATGATATATATCCTACTGTAATAATAGATAAAAATAAGGTTGAAAATAACAGTGATTCTCTGATCTATGATTTCCAGTTCTTCACAAAAGGCAAATGGCCTACCTGTACAACCTACAATGTTGACAGGTGAAATTAGTTTAATCTCATGGAAGTGTTAGCGCAAATTCTGAAAACAGAGCAGGATGAGGGAGGAGACAAAAGCCTAGAGTCCCTTACATTGCAAGTTCTGCTGCTTTGGGTTGAGAACAAAATTCCCTTCCCGCTAGCTGTTATTATTAATCAAAGCATGGTGCCTCTAGTGTCATCTACCCCCAGAGAAACTTCAACGTCAGTAATTCATCTGGACTATACATAGTTTCTGGGAAGTTCTTACGCTTTGAGGTAAAAGCCTATACACGTTTTATATAAGACAGATCAATGTATATACATACATATATTGAAAGTACAGCATATATATTTGGTAGGAAGAGTCTTTGTTAACCTAATTCAAAAGAGAAGTACTGAAAGCAAAATAAAGAAGAATTATTAACAGACATTATCTCAGTACTTCTATTACAGTGACACTCTTAGTCCGTGGTTACTGCAGAAAACCAGCTACCACAGCATCAACCATTTCAGCAAGTCTTGGCAAAAATAATCCTCATTAAATTATCTACTTTCAAGTTCAGAATAACGTTTCCCTTAATAAACTGTATCACGCTAGTGCTTTTCATTTTTTTCTTCACCAGTTCTTTATGCCCCAGAAATGCTTGCTGAAATTAGTGGGCTTTTGTGCCTTTGGGTAAAGAATTTGCTTACTTTGGATTACAGCCTCAACTTGTGCTATAATAAAGAAACTCTCTGAGAAACCAGAAACAGCACTTCAAAAGCAATCCTTTGCAAAGGATTGCCTTTTTAAACTAGCTATCATTAAAAACAAGCAAACAAATAATATAAAGCACCAAATTTGACATCTCTCAGCTACTGACAGTCAATGTGCTGGTTAGAGTGTGCCTCATACGTTGCGTAGGCCTGAGTTTCTAAGCAGTACGCTAGGACCTAGCTAATTCCAGAAGCAGTAAAACGTGGGTGTTATTTTCTTTTAAACACAGAAACCATGGGGGGAAAAAAAAAAAGAGAAAGAGAGTGAAATAACTACTTAAAATCCCACAAGCCTGCCCTAATGGCACCAGCTACATGCATCACTGGATCACGACGGGGCTCCACATCATCTGGACACTGAACTTCACTCGTGTGCCACTAGCCAGACCGGCCCGAGGAGGCTGGTTTTCGCGCCCCCAGGGCAGCGGGCACGGCTGGAAGAAGAAACCGAGAAAGACAGAAAAGGGTTTGTTTTTTTTTTTAACCCCCCCAAATACCCACGGCCCAGAGAAAGGC